TTCCTGAAAGGAGGAAGCCAGAGCTGTGGATGGAGCTGGGTGTGTTGTTTGTCACCTCACTGAAGGGACACTATCTAAACATCTATAGAGGGCAGCAGGTAAAGTATTCATCACTCTCTTAGCTTTCTGCCATATTTAGCACTCACCTGTCATATTTTTCTTTGACAAACAGCCACGTAACAGCAACAAATCAACACTCAACTTGAGGAAGGCTGGCTCCCATCCCAAGAATCACTGGAGCCTTTAGCAGGCTGAGTTTCCCCAATACCTCAATGCACCAGAAATTCCCATGCAAATCTACAGCCTTACACTCTTCCAAGTTGGTTTTTTAGTTCACACTTAGGAGGGAAAAAAAAAGTTGATGTACAACACTATTAGGGTTTTTTTGTTGTTTTTATAAAATTTTTCAAGATATCACAAAATTACACACACTAGAAGCTTATAATCTGCACATTTTTTTTCCAATGAAAAAGTGAAATATCTTAAATTTATTACTTGTATATACAATTTCAATCCAAATTTACATTCATATCATTTTCATGGATAGGCAAAAGGCATGGATCAAACACAGGATTGAGATGTGTCACTTCAGCATATTTATAGGAGATTAAACTTCCAATCTGAGTATGTGTTCATTTCGATTCATTGAGAACAGGCCACTGACAAAAGGCTGATTTTGTGTTGAAATGGGATCAGGTGTGGGGATGGTCACTGCTCCCACCCACTGCTAACATCCAGCACTTGTTCCAGGGAGAGCCACAAGACAATGACTGAAGAATTAACAGCTTTGCTGTAAGCTCTGAGATGGGACAGAAGTTTAAACCCAGTCCTTGGCTGCGCAGTCAGATTAAGGCATTTGTGCTAGACATAACTTTTCACCTTTACAAGTTAACTAACAAAAAGCTGAAATTCCTCTCACCTGCCCCTGGAAGAGGTAAGTTATGGACTCAGTTCTTTCTTGAGCCTTCACAAACAAAGTAGTGAGGTTAATAAGACATGACAGGCTATGAACATCTCCATCTTTCAGCTATAAAAATGGATCTGTATTTCAATAACTTACATTCAGTGAAATTGTCTTTAGACCTGTTTGAAATCACTTAGGCTTAGCTAGCACAATTTAAGCAGAACTTCATTCAGATAGAGCAAAAGAAAGCAAATAAAAATTAAAATTTACAAGGAATACTCAGTTTCCCTCCAAGCTAAATTTTTATTACTTGGAATATGGAAAAAAAATTTTAAATGATGCTGCTCTTGTTAGAGTTCATAAGAGAATTCAAACGAAGACACCTCTCAAGCCCAGAATAATCTGAATAGTTTGCTATTTTAACAACCTGCACAAACTGTAGATACTGTATGTTAAGACACTATGAAATCAACAGCTCAATTTCCCCCCTGTAGCTTTCTGTTGCTTGAGTTATTAAAGAACCAGTACTGAAGGAAATACCTGCCAAACTATCCCAGTTCTGTCCACTCAGACTCCATACTTAATAAAATACTAACCATGGAGACCCTGAACACAAAAAATAGAAACTATAAATAGAATCCAGCAATGCAGTTTCACCTATAGCTGCGCAATCTCCAGTGTGCCTCGCACAAACAAGAGTTAGCTTCAAGAGCAAACCAATCACATATATCCTTCCTTTCCATTCAATATTCTCCTTATCATCTTTTATGCTTTGGTAAAGTACAAGTAACGGGGAACTCTGGGTAAGGAAAGCACAGTAAATAACATGGGTGTATCATACCTTCTGTAAGAAATCTGAGCTGAAATGTAAGGCATCCCCCAAAGTATTTTTTGCATATGCAAGGAATGCAGTTCTTTGTAAACAAAAGCTTGAGGAAAGCAATACTGAAGCCAAAGAATCTTCCCTAGGATCCTACCGATGATCCCAAAACCAAGAGCAGCTCTCCTAGGGGAAGTGTTTTTGGAACTAAATCCTGTGAAAAAGAGAATCCAATCCTTTGTCTTTCCATACATTTTAAATCTTGTAGTAGATTGGCTCACCTTGAAGATCTCCAAATAAAGAAAGTGATGTAAAAGTCGATTCTCAAGGGCAGAAGCTGATCCGAAGTCTATTTTTCTGGTACATCACTTTCTATAGATTTTGTGGCAGCATTGCTACAGCCCGTGGATGCTTGCACAGTATTCCCACTGGTAGTGTTTCCCACTGCCTGGGACTGACAGGCAGTGGCAGGTTTAGTGGCAACAAGTGTTTTAGGAGGTTTAGACTGATGCCTGCGATGACCTGAATCCTCACCTGTCGCAGCAACTGATCTCCTCCTGCCAGATTCTTCACTAATGGGAGGCTGAAAACAAACATGGGCAACCTGTTAGGAGTTTTGCTGTGGAGCCTGACATTCCCCTTTCCACAGACTTAAAGGGCTGGAACAATCAGGCCCTTGAGGTTTGTAAAGTTGCCTTTCGGTGGAATCAAGTGCTGCTCTCACATCACCTTGCAGTAAAAATATTGGTAAATAGGTATTGAAACTTACATCCACCCTGAAGTCCTCCAGTCTCCTGAATTTACTCAGGTATTCCTGCAGTTTGGGGTCAACAGCTGGAGTCTTGTGCTGAGAGTATTTTAGGTAAGCCCAAAATTTTTCCAGTCCATACAGCTGACCTAGTAATGGAAAAAGATAATTTTACCCATTTACAAAGGTCACATTTAATTGAAAACTGAAACACAGAGTTACTAGTGAATAATTAAGAGAACTGAAGATAAAAGGAACACGAACTAGAGCTGCTCTTGGGTTAGTTACCAAGTCAGTGCCAAGGAATCAGGCTTATCTCCCAACTAAAGTCACCCCAGTGTGAGCAGTGACAGGCCTGGGATAATTACCAGCTTCATAGTCCCTCTTTGTTTCTTCTTGGAAATCCTCAAATATTTCTTGCCTGAATTTCTTTTCTAGGCCATAGCTGTAAAATCTAAACAAGCATTCCAAGCCATACCTGGAACAGAACAGAGAGGTATGAACTTGTCTTTTTTGCTCAAAGAAATGGAGGTGAGGGAACTGGGTGAAAGGAAGGGAATAATATCCAAGAGCTAAAGGACAGCAGCAATTTCCTTTCTGGTCATTTTCCTGGTATTTTTATAAGGCAAGAACCAGTTTGAACAAGCTGAAAGATGTCAAGAATGTCTTCACCTACAGAAGGAACAATCTAGGAGGGTTAGTACAGAGCTGACTTGTCATGATCAACAAGTTACAGGATTCTGTAGAATTCAGGACTGATTACAAATCAGGAAATGCTGCAGTTGTAGCTATTTATCTGCAAAGCACAAAAATTACTGATTTTTGCTATTGAAAATAACATACCCATTACTATTTTAAAGATTTACAAAGAGTCCAAGGCAATACTAAAAAACATTCACTTCAGATCAACAGAAACTTCACACTCATTCAAAGGAATGGTAAAGCCTTGACAGTTTTTCACTTCCAGGGAAAAAATACCTGTAGTGTTCTTTTGCATCATCTAGAGCAAGTTGTTTGAATTCTTCATACATTTTCTTGTTAAAGTGATCTCTCAGAAAAAAGGACCAGAATCGAAATAGTGTGTTCATTTCTTGGGACTGGCCAATTCCCAACCGTTTCCTCTCTGGAAGGAGAAAGAAAGGGAAAAACAGAAGCAGTATTTTAATTTTTGAGTGCTTTTCCTTCAGCAATACACACACAAGATCTTCAGTAACTTGAGCTTAAATTTGAGGGTAATTGGTTTGTCAGGGAATGTAAAGTTCAATGGAAAGCAGAGCTCCTAAAACAGAAGCATCAAGAAACCTGCTTTCCTTTCCCAAGAACAATTAAGGATGAGAAACAAGGTGGAGAAAACTGGTATTTTAACTTAAAACTTTAGGAAGTGCACGGAGCAACTTACCCATTAAGCACCTTCGCCGATATTTGTGGTACACCTGTTGAGTGAAGCCATTTTCCTTTAACAGTTCATGGGAAGGATGCTGGAATTTTGGAAGAGAATTTGGGGTACAGCCATAACCTCCTGCCAGTGGAGCTCCCTCTGAAGGTGAGGCATTGGAACTGCTGAAGGGAAAAAACAGATTTCTGACCTGTAAGCAGAGGTCTCCCACAGAATCAGTTTATTCTGACCCACCCAAGAGCTGTCAGTGCAGTACAGGTGCCTGACACAGTGCATGGGGTCACACTCACTGCCTTTGGGTCACCTCAAAATCAGATTCTGTGCCAATATATCAAAAAACCAGGCAGTTTTTGGACTATGGTAACTCAATATTAGCAGAATGCCTGATTTTAAATGGCCATTCGAAGGCAAAATGACAGAAGTGCACATTGGTGCCTCAAGGAGTGTTACTGCTGCTAGATCAACAACGCTGTGAACAGCCAGTCTCACTTGCCTTGTACTCCAGGGCTTTTGTCTTTCCTGATCACTCTTTTCTTACTTCCACTTTATAAATTGCCTTTTATCACAGCCTGTTTCTCTGTTAGCCGTGACGACTAACGGCAAACAAAATTTGTACATCCACAAAGGAATAATTTACCTCACAGAGGAGGCTCTTGGCCTGTGGTCTCTGGAATCCATCACCCAACCAACGTGGCATTCCAAGGGAGGATTCGTACTGTGGCGTGTTTTTCTTTTCCTTGGAGTCTAAGACAGAAAAGGAAGGATTTATTTCCTCATTTTCTCCCTCTTTAAAACAAAGTTCTAAAAAATTTTACATTCTACTATCTGACACTTATGAAGTCACAAGGCTTCAGTTTCATAACCCAAAGATTAGTCTTATGCAACAAATCAAAAATCTCTAGACACTACACTTTTTCAGCGAGGACTTTTAAGAAATGTTACAGAGAAAACTCAGAAGACATTTAAGAGCAATAAAAATAAAATGAGTATGGCAAATACTCTGGAGGTAAACAACAAAAAAAGCACAAGCAGTTAACTTTTGGCCTTTTAATTCTTATTCAACTCTGTGCAAACATGAGTTTGATAGGGTTTTCCTGGGGTGTAATAAAAGATATGTTTTTCCAGTTACCTTTCCATCGAAGGATCGTGCTTCCTTCACGACAGGGTAGAACCTGGGTGTTCTGTTGGGATCCTGCAGCCTCGGGGTGCGAGGAGTTCTCAGGATGAAGCCAGGGTGGACACGGGGGGAATCGGGAACGGCTGTCGGCAGCGATCGAGCTATTCCTGGGGGTCTGCTGGAGCTACTTCAAGACCAAGGAAGTTTCTAGCCAGCTCCTCTGCTAAATAAGTAGGAAAGGAGAAGGTGAGGTGGGTTTAATGAACTGCTTTATAGATGCTACTGGCACGTGCTCTAGTAAATGTTACTACTGCAGCATCAGAATTGCCTCAAGAGATGAGATTTGGATGTTGTGACTGCTCAAGATGGTTATGATACAAGTAAAAATTCTTCTGATCTCACTTGCTTCTATCCCTGTCTCCCATAAAAATACTGTTTCACAACCTCAGTTTACTTGACACATTGCTAACTCCAAGCTACATAAAAAGAACTTGGTGCTGCTCTACAGTGACAACAAAACAGGACACTGCCTTTAGATGGGTCATAGATAGCCTGAGAGGTACCAGTACCAGCTCCTCTCACTCCATGGAACCCACACTACTGACAATTTGAAAGGAAAAGCCCCTCTGACTGCTGACTGAACCAAAATATTACACAGACAGAAAGAGTTACAACACCTACAGAGCTGTTCTGTATTACAGAGATTCTAAAAAACACCAAGTACTTTTAGTTACCTTTCTGTAACCCTGGAGGTCCTGGAGGAACTTCTGGAGTTGGTTCAGCATATTCTGGTGCAAGGCTAACAAATTCTTCCTTACTAATGAGATTTAGCTTCTTAAAGTTCTCAATCTCTTGCTGAATTAGAGAAAGCAAATTGTAAATGCAAAGCAGGGTAAGGGATATCATCCTGAGAAACAGGTGAATTTCTTGAAGAGAAAGTAAGTCAGAACTGACACACAACTACTGGTGTACCTGTCTCAGGTGGGACATGTGTGCATGTGCATGCTGGGTGTGAAAAATCTTGTTTAAATCATTGTTAAGAACATAAGAACAACAACAAAATATTCTCTCTTGCTGTGTGCTATTTCTCACTGTCCTCTCTTCCTGTTTGCTGATTTTCTTAGTGCATTCCCTTTGCAATTAAAAAATTATTTCTTGCTCTTGTTCTCAACATTTATTTCTGTGTCAGCTCTTTTTTGTACCCACATGCTCCATTTGTCCATTAAGCTGCTTCCTCCCTCTTTGTGCACAAACTCCCTTCCCTCACCACTTCGTGTTTAGGTAACTCCATTCTAACAAGCTCCAAAGTCAACACAGAACCTTAATCTGAAACTACTTTACATTGACTGTTACTTTCTTCTCAGTATTTCCTTCTCAGACACATGTCCCCTCCCCCAGGATAGGGGTTTGCAGTTGTTATGAAACAAACTGTTCCTACAATAAAAAAAACACTGGAAAACTTGAACCATCTCCAAAATATGAAGAATAGTTCTAAAAAATACTCATTCAACATTTTGGTCAAGTCTGTGACAAGAAAACACTTGGGTTTGCTTTCAGCTGCAAAGATAATAGACTTGCAAATCACTGTCACTTTTCTGCAGTATTTTACAACTCCACAGCAGATGGCTGAAATTAATTTGGGCATGGATTTCAGGTCAAAACTCCAGAGAATTACCTTCATCATGGCATCGTTTTCATTCTGATCCATCCACAAATCCTGTTCATAATAGTACAAGCCATCATTAATGACTTTAGCCAGCTCTGAAGTGATTTTTGCTCGGCACACGTGGTTGCCAGTACGCTCTCCACAAGGATGTTTTTTCACATACGGTGGTGTCTGTGTTACAATCAGAATCTTGTTTATGTCCTGATCATCAATTTCATAATCGGAGTCGCTGTCTGACCAATCCGTAAATTTATTCTTCCGCCCCTGAATTTGTTCCATCTCTTCATCAAACAAAAATTCAAGCTCTTCTTGTTCTTGTTCCTCTGGAGGTGGAGGTGGCTGGTGTTCATCTGCTGCTTGGTCAGGCAGAGGAACACTTTCCTAGGTTGGAAAAGGTTTTATATAGCAATTACCCAACCTATACAGACATATTCAACATCACACATGAAAAACCTTGTTTCACACTCTAATCTCAAAGTTGGCAGGTTGTGCATTTGTTTGTTCAAACAAAACTTAGAGGGGTTTGATTTTACCTTTAGTTTGACTGTGGATGCACGATGCCTCTTCTTCACTTCTATCCAAGGTTCAGAGTCCAAATCAGGCAAACTGGTAGACAATCCTTTAGACATTGCCTGAAAATTACTTGTCTCAGTGTTTTCCTTCGGACTCAGTGGGCTTCCCATTCTTGGAGAACTTGGTGCAGACTCTAGCAGGGGAAAACTGTAGTTCAGTTCCTATTGTGGATTGGGTTGATTCTGTTTTAATGTTTAGTTTTTTCACTGGTCTCTCATTTAACCATTTTTCTACCTCTCTGGTTCAATATAACACTGGTCAAAGAATTTCTTGTCATTTTTAGGAGACAGCTTTTCACACTTCACTCAACATTTCAGGATAAAATCCATTCTAAGAACTTATTTACATGGAAAGTTGCTAACAGTCTGTGAGAAATGATGTGCTGTTCAGAAAACAAGAGCAGCATCATTAGGGACATGTTTTCTCCACGCCATCCTCCAGCTCTGTGGATGGTTGCCTAACTCTATCTTCATTCTTCCCATTTAATTCCAACCAACGTTTCAGTACAAGATTTCCCTGCCAAGACTTCTCAGTGAACAAAGCCATCTCCCTATTAATAATGGGAATGAGTTTCCCATCCAAAACCAGGATGCACCAAATAAAGAGTCAATTTTCAGCTGCTGCAAAAATGAAGCAGATTTTACAACTAACTTGAGATTTATATCACTGCTTCTACAGAACTGCAGTCCATCATTCTCTATTCCAGAGAATGGTCACAGCCATAACACACAAGAGACATTTTATCTACTTCCCATCAGCCACACCAGCCATGTGACTTGGCAAGTGCAGGGCTGGCAGGCAGAGCAGCTGAATAAACCCTTACCAAATGTACAACTTCTATTATGAAATCAGTATCAAGAGGCAAATTTCCTAAGCTAGACAGACAGTCCTAAACTTATGTTACGATAAAATAAATCCTTTACCAGTATGTGAGCCAAAAATTTGGCCTGGTATGAATTCTGGGCAATTGATGAGCTGAGAAAAGTCAGTTGGAGGCAGGCTGCACGGAGGAGGACCTGGAATTGGCCACTTTTCTGGATCAACCCTTTTTCTTAGCCTCTGATCCACAGTTTCAACTTCTGTACTGTCCTTTAGGGCCTGCGTGAGAAGCACACTGTAACTGTAAAAACCTTACATATCCAACACCATCCCAAAAAAAAAAATCAAACTCCACAAACTTGGCCATTCATAGCCTCTTTATAAAATCCTTGTTGTTGCAAACAGGAATCTTTGTTGACTGGAAACAGTAGCACAGAATTAACCAAGAAACTTTCCATATCTCTGCTTGTAAGTGCTCTTACCTCCAGAATGAGTGCAGCATTTGTAGTCAGAGCTTGCATGCGACGGAAGCTGGCGATCAGGGAGACAGGCAGAAAGCCTTGTTGGTCCATCTTTCTCCTCAAAAAGAAGTCTCTTTCCAAATTCTCTGTGCTGAAATAATACTCACTGCAGAAGGAAACATACAAATCTGAGCTTATTATAGGTTAAAGAAAATCCTGAAATAGCAACTCAGATTCCTTGTTTAAAGTCTTCCATTAAAAAAAACCAGAGCGCACTTGGACATCAACAAAATCATTCTTCAAGAGTTGCATGATGAAAGCAAGACTGACAGAGCAGCAAGCATGCTCCACAGGTTAAGACAGACTCATGACCCAGGACAGCACAGAGGGGTATACACCAAAGCCTTGTTACATTTGCATATGTGAACTGCAAAAAAAAAAAAAAAAATCAAAAACTACACTCCATTTTCCAACCCGCTCCCTCATTACTTACATGAACAGAAGGAAACAACTTTCTCTTAGCCTCCACAGATGAAGGACAACTACTGCTTACAGTCAGGGTATAAGTTATTTCCCACAAAGCAGTATCAGTGCACCTTCATCCTGAACTGCATCTTTTATTGTCCCAGTTTCCAGTGCATTAGAAGGTTTAAGTATCCTATCCGAGAGTGTTGAGGCACATATATACATATATATATATATACACACTCTGAATCACCAAGCATGCTTGTGGGAAGATGAGAAAACAAAAATAGTAATGTTGGATTTATCATGAAACTGTACCAAAAAGGCACCACAGTTCATGGACAGAAAAAAAAAAAAAAAAAAGACTAAAAGAAGAGATGATGTTTAGTGGATAAAGAGGGACACAAGGACATTTCAGGCATCTGATAACACCACAGAACAAGAGAGACAAGGGACAAACAGCAGAAAGACAAATCTTCAACAGTGAAGCTGCTCTATGAAATGATCAGGGTGTCAAGATGGTTTATACTTAGCGAAGGGAAAAAGCAAGGAATTTAAATCATGATCTGTCGCACAGAGCAAGGGAATGAGAAAACACCCTAGGGAAAAGAATGGGAAAAAGCCCCAATTTAAACGTGACTACTAAAATCTCAGCCTTTCCTAGAGTTCACACATCATACCATGATTCTGCACATTACATCCAAGGAATACTACTCCTCGTCACGTGCAGGGAGGGAAGTATTTAATGGAAACCGTGACATAAAAACAGAGGTAGTGCAAAAAAAATAGAAAACAAGAGGGTATTAAAATGCTGAGGGAAAAGAGCTGCACATGCAAATGTAAATAAAGATAATTCTAGCTTCCACAAAGTATAAAACACCAAGTGTCTCCACTCAAGTTGGGATCAAGGCCAAAGTTACCGAGAGAAGGGCACTCTGATGCCATCACTGACCCAAGGAGCACCTTGATCCCATTTCTTTCTCTAATTTTTTGCAGCTAAAGACACTGGAAGCAAAAGCTGGCTAATGAAACACTCAGCTTCATGGCAGAATGGATATAAAGTCTCAAAGCTGGACAACAAGACAGGACAAATGAAAACACTGCTATTAAATCAAAGCAAACACAGAAGAGAGTAAGGATTTGGGAGAATTAAGCTCTCACTCAGAGCTCAGTATGATCAGTGAAGCAACTGTGCACAAAGAGAAAGTTCCTTTCAGGAATATCCTATTTACTGTTCTGAGCTGCTACATTCCTTTCCCCCTCCCAGTCTGGAAGATAAGCAAGCACAAAAGCCATAGACCAACATTTTGCTAGTGTTACCTTTACAGTCATACAGTAAAGGTAAAATCTTGTAACGATTCACCTAGTTAAAAATTCCACAAGCAGAAATGGACAATGACTGAACTTGACTCAAACTGCCTCACTTGATGTCCATCACTCTAGAAAAAGGAATGTGAAAGACCATTAATGAAAAATGAAGACAATGCACAAGTTTGCTCCAAGCAGAGGGACAAACCTAAACACACACACCCCCTCCAGCTTCACTTTGCTTCCTGCTCCTCAGAGTCCCTTTGCTGATTCTTGAACTGATATCCGAACTTCTGTTTATTTCTCCGTTTTCCAAAGCAAGAGAACTTTGAATAGAGCTCCACTGCACGGTGCAGGCTGAGGAGCTGCTAAGCACTTCAGCCTGTAATTCAAAATGTTTAAGATATTCTTGTATGCAGCACAAACGTTACTCTCTTGTACACTGAGCTGGTCCTTGGGACAAGCACAAACTGCTCGACAGCAGTCTGTCTCTGCCTGTAAATACACATCAACTCAGATGGACACAGTCTCTAAGACTTTCCTCTATTAAGCTGGTAAACTTTTAAAATTCATCAATTCACTAGAATTTGACCTCACTTCTTTAATATATCCTAATTTATCCTGGACTCCATGAGGAACTCTGAGACCTCACAGTTTTGAGTAGCTTTATTCTGTTACACACTTCCTTCCTTCGGCATAATCACTTTAATATTTTATAGCTAAATTATGAAAAGCAGACAAAGGCACCTCCATTTAGAAGCTAATAATAGGTAACTGATGAATGAAGACTGTTTCCCTTAATTTTTAATGTGATAAAAGAAGTGAACAGATAAAAAACACCTTTTTTTTGTTAAGGGAGCATAAAAATAGTGAAGCTACATTCTAAACCTGCTCAAGAATCTCCCTCCTCTCTCTTAAGGAAAGCAAACTCCACCACTGAACTGCCTTTAGGAGTTCATATCAGGCAAGCAACCACTGGCTCTGGTTGCCATTGCCAAGTCTTCTGTCGATACCTGCCAACCTCTCGGTGCTCAAATAAAATACAAATATACCCAGAAGTCAGATGTGACCAATGCTGTAACTGACATTTTTTTTTTCTCAGCAGAGGGGGACATTGTCATGTCCTACCTTAGAAGGTCTGGATTCTACACTGCATGCCCAGAAATCTGGCCAACAGTGGAGTGGCTGTGCTCCTCCCCCACTTGTCTGAGGACAGTGCAGGCCGATTATCCTGACATGGGGGTACATGTCCACTGTCAGGTCTCATAGGGGCCTGGCAGCAAGAGTAACAAAAAAGACTGCAATAGAAGTTTTGAAGTTGATAGCCACATGTCAGATACTTTCTGCCCTTAAAGAGGCTTTTCTCTTCCTTTTTGCGTCAACTGTAACAAAAGAAGCGAGAACAACATAAGCAAGTTGCTGTATGGAACACAAGGGCAATCAAAAACCACCACAGAGGCATCGCAGAGAAATTGCAAGTACAGAGGATGAAATAGCTGCCAGTGGTGGAAACTCTCTCTTTAAAATGAACTAGTGGTTTCCAGGCCCTTTTTGACTTGTCTCCTGGTGATAATCAGTCTTCCAGATGGTTTCTCATTGCCTAATGGTGTACACGAGAAAGTAAACATTTCAGATTATTGAAAAACCAAACCACAGAGGCATCGCAGAGAAATTGCAAGTACAGAGGATGAAATAGCTGCCAGTGGTGGAAACTCTCTCTTTAAAATGAACTAGTGGTTTCCAGGCCCTTTTTGACTTGTCTCCTGGTGATAATCAGTCTTCCAGATGGTTTCTCATTGCCTAATGGTGTACACGAGAAAGTAAACATTTCAGATTATTGAAAAACCAAATTGCAAAAT